ACACATTTACATGGTTAATCGCTTTTATGCATAATTTTATATTGTTTTATTAAGTAAATAGTTTTGTCAAATTACTAAAATTTGATCATAAGTAAATTAATATGATAATCGGTATGTTCTATATTGCTGGTGTTAGATATATTGTTCCATTTTTATTATGAGTAATATAGGAAATACTTTTACAGAGATTTTGATCTATATTTTGGATTTTTTTAAAGGATATATTCCTAAAAGGGAATGTGCAGTACAAAGGGCAAGGATATTTTTAAGACTTGATCAGAAGAGGTAACATTTTAATCAACTGGTCACCAGGAAGGCCAGAATTTATAGTTGTGAGCCCTTTCTGATACTTGTGATTTTTAAATATTCATGGTGGAGTGAGAAAAAAACAACATGTTTTCGATTTGGAGAAATTGGAGTTCAAATCTAGGGTTCCCCACCCGTTGCTATATAATCTGATGTCTTCTGGGTGGGTTTTTTTTTTTTAATCTTTTGGAGTTTAATTTGACCAATAGGAATGAAATTATACTACCTTTCCCATGCGGTGGCTGTGGATATTCACTGAGGGCCTGCATGTGACTGAAGCTGCCCTGCAGTCCTTTCTTCTCCTTTCTCATAAGGAAGGACAGCTTGTCATTGAAGGACAATTTGTAAATGCCTGGTGGGCGCTGCTGCCTAGCAAGGGAAGTCCAGAAAGGAGGAGAGAGTCTGGGAGATGCTAGAGGCAGAACAGAGGCTGGGATGGTACAGGGAGGACCACAATCACTGCTTCTGGGGCACCTCCTCCTGCCCTGGACCAGGACACCTGCTGCAGTAGGTGCCTGCATGGCCTCTCTCTTTGTGCCTCTGGATATGAAGCTTGGTCTGGTCGTGTGCAGAGTGAGAGTAAATTCTGCCTCAGCACAAGTCAAGGAAAAGGAAAGAGACTGTAATTGTGAACATCTAGCGCAGGAGCGGCGGCGGCGTCATCACCGGACAGGCAGCTGGAGATGCTGGCAGTGTCAGTAAGGAAGCAAGTGGCAGTGAAATGCCTAAACTGAATAGCCCAGATGGGGTCGCTGAATGCTAATGGAGGCAGACGGAGAAATCTCGGCAGAGGAGAGAGGGAGCCTCTCACCCATGTGACTGAGAAGGCTGAGGGTCGTGGGCTGGATCTGAGTTGGTCCCTGGTGGACATGAAGGGTTCGGATTGAGGGGAGGTAAGAGGGGATTTGCAAATACAGGAGGGCTATCAAACCAGAATGTGGGGGCAGGAAAGAGCCCCTACAGCTGTCATCTGGGCCCTCACCTACTCCCTGTCCTTCTTACTACCACCAGTCTGCAATGGCTTCCTTTCTTTGGCCGGTACCATGTGACCATGAGGGTCATTGCCATCAGTAGTAGCCCAACAGCTACCACTAGTCAAGCCTTACCAGATGCCACATGACTTAAATCAACTCTTTGTCTTAGGCACATTCTTATTGCTAAGACACAACACCCAGCACTGCAATTTGAAAGAGGAGAAATTTATTTTGGCTCACTATCAGCTGGGCAGAAGTGACATGGAGGAAGACTATGGGCAAAGGAAAGCTGCTTACACGATGGCAGCTAGGAGAAGAGAAGAGACGGGGAGGGAGATACACCCTTCCGGGCTCACTCACCCCATCTCCTAACAGCAAGCCAGCTATAGCCCCCTATAATCCAGTCACCCTCCAGACCTTTGGGGGCATAACCTAGATTTTAATCATGTTATTCAGTCTTCTCAACAACCCTAGAGGTGCATGTGCTAGTATGATTCCCATTTTACAGATAAGGAAACTGAGGCACAAAGAGGCTACGTTAATCATCCCAAAGGAGAACCATGATTGAATCCCAGACTGGCTTGAGATATCATCCTCTTACTCATTTTGTCATATTACACCCTAAGATCTAAACCCCTACCTGCTCGAATAAAGCTCTAGAATCCATTGTGTACATTCCTGTATCTAAACGCCCCATCATCTTCTCTGGAAGGGACCGGTGGAGGAAAACTAAATCCACCTCCTGCGCCCCCTGCAAGATCCCCCACGACAGAGCTTTCCAGCAAGAGCCAGCAGGCCCCAGCCTGGACCCCCACCCCACAGCCTGGAAGCCAGATGCGAAACGGAAGCCTCCACATCATTGGTAAGTGGACACATACCCCAAGTGGTCAGCCAGTAAGGATGGGGCCCCTCAGCCTCTGGTGGGTGGGTTAGGGGCATGTGCCTCTCACCGAGTAGGGGGTGCTCACTCAAGCACAAAACAACGGTGAGGTCTGTGAGACAGGGCTTCTTTCAACACATTCTGCGTGGTTCCAGGCCTTACTCTTGTATTCTGATTCAGATTCAAGAAGGGAGGAAAATGGACATTTACCACTATGTGTGTTTTCCAGGCATGGTAGTGTGTGCCTGTAATCCCAGCAGTTGGGAGGCTGAGGCAGGAGGATCACTGCAAGTTCAAGACCAGCCTAGGCCAGTCTGAACTACATAGTGAAATCCTGTCTAAAAGAAAAACCTGTGTTCTTACACATGTATCTATCTGTCTGTCTGTCTCTCTGTCATCACAGAGAAATTAGTGTATTCACCTGAAAGACTAGAATGACATAGATAAGGGAAAGAAATGGGTGGGAAGCTTACCAGGCAGGGGCACAATCAAAGCAAAAAAGTGAACATAGCCACCTGGGGTCAGATGTGACCACAAAACTTATTCATCCCTGAAATAGTGTTTACCAGACACAAGGGCTGGACTACAGAGCAGGGAATCAGCCCAGGGAAAGACCACATGGCCCCTCCCATCCTCTCCCAGGAGCTCAGGGCAGAAGTGTTTGCTTTGAGGAACCCAGGTCCCACACTGGACACAAGCAGGTTCCTTCTCATCCACGAAGGAGTCCTTAACTACCTCCCACCTCCCCCGAAACTCTCCCACTGTCAGAAGCTTCAGGCGGATGGTCCTTGTCGGGCCGAGGTTCCCCACCCTACCTCTGGACTTCGGGTAGCCCTGGCCACTTCCGCTTCCTTCAGCAGCTCCCCTGAGATGTTGGTTGGAGTAAATTGGGGTGGATGACGGGAATGACTGTGGGTTTTACTTCGCTGCCTTCCCTCATCACAGCCACTCGCTAGCTCTTCACAGGCAGAGGGATGTTGTAGAGAGAGTAGCCCTGTCTTCAAGCCCCTTGCACAGAACAAGCCAGCAGGAGACAGTATTTTCAGTCATCACCTGTGTATTCCTGGAAATAATTACACAGGAGTCATCACAGTCACCCCAGTAACCTTTACCGTTTCCCACATGTGCAGACGACTTCGAATCTAAGTTCACCTTCCATTCTGTGGAAGACTTTCCCCCTCCAGATGAATACAAACCATGCCAGAAGATTTACCCCAGCAAGATCCCCAGAAGTAAGTACCAATTTGACAAGACTCCTGGCTTTTCTCGATTCTCCAAAAGTAGGTATTTAGTGTGTGTTGACTGACCACAGACTAAAGGATGATGTCATGATTTACTGTCCTAAAGGGATGTGATGCTAACCCTACTTCTAGAAGATTTTGTCCTGATACCTAAGGATTTATTTGGATGTTTTTTTCCACACCAGGGTTAACTCTTTGCCATCAGATTTGGATGCCTAAATTAACTATGTATCCTTCCCCTTCCCAGAGCTTTTGATAGGGAACTAAACACCCCAGAACATCCCAGTGAAATGGGATACAGGTGCTTTGCATGAATAGCTAGGGATGAAACTGAAATTCTCCAGTTTAGAATTTCCACAAACCATGAAATGGTCTCAACTTTGACTGCACATTAGAATGACCTAGGAGCTTCTAAAAACCTTGAAGTGTAAGCTAGATTTGATCAGGAAATCCAGGGTGGCACCCAAATGTCAGTATCTTTGAAAGCTGCCAGATCATCCCAGTATATAGCCAGTAAGACTCGCAACCCACCTGTGCCTCAGATCCAAAATAGAAGGGAGGGAAGCCATAGAACATAGGCTTGATGTATTTATTGCCCAGTGAGTGATTGCTGCCCACTAGGGAACAGGAGTCAGTACTTGTACAGCTCTGGGCCAGATTGGACAGGAGGTAGTAAATAGGAAGGGGCAGAGTCAGCAACAACATGGGGTGAGGGGGGATATGTTCCTGTTCCACCACACAGGCAAGACCCCCATTACACGATCTTTTCACCCAACTGGAAAAGGATCAGTGTCCGGGGTCGGCATATGACCAGGAGTCAAGGACTAGGTTTGACGACCCTGTCCTTTCAGAGGGACCTTGGTGAAGTCCCTTCTGATGGACTCAGCTTTCTTGAAGAGCAGACAAACTCCAGCCTTCTCTTCTCAGGACAGAGGCTTTTCTCACCAGGCCAGGATGCAGATGTCCCTACTGTTTGTGGGACGGCACACTTGAGAAAGGGGCCTGTGTACTCTTCTGTTAATCATTTGTACCTGCCACTTTTCTCAACTGGAGAGAGGGAAAGGAAGTGGACTGGTATAAAGTGGTCAGGGGAGGAAACATCACATCCACCAAAGGTTCCAGTGAAGATCCAGCAATGGGAGGACAAAGCTGCTGTGTCTTGCATTCCTGCTCAGTTCAGCAAATGTACAAGAGCTTCCCAGACAGTGGAAACAATTGGTGAACAGAGAGACAAAATGTGGCTTAGCCATACAGTGGGATGTGATCCAACAACACAAAGGAATGAAGTACCGAGATACACCTCAGCATGGACGAAGCTCAAAACATGAAGCTAGTTGAAAGGAACCAAACACAGAAGGCCACATGATTCCATTTATATGAAATATCAAAAATCAGCAAATTCACACAGGCAGAGAGCTGGATTACTGGCTGCCAGGGAATCTGGGATGGGAAATGGTGAGTGATTGCTAAAGAGCATGGAATTTCTTTATGAGGGGATAAAGTGTTTTACACAACATTGAGAAGTGGCAGTTGAATGGTGGCATAAGTGTTAGAAACGAGGGGGAATATTTTGAGGGGATCAATAGCAACACATCTTTTACTGTGATAAATTATTTAATTTACACATTAACCATATTTTTCAATCACCCCTTGTATTTCTGCCTTTGTGGTAAGCAGTTTGGCAGAAGCCTTGGTCCCAGTGAGCATTTTTGGCTACTCCTAATTATTACCTGATTATTGACCACACACACACCTTTGTAAAGGGTCTTCTGGCATCCTATTCCTTCATGATGCTCCTGTCTTTCCTGGACACTTCTGTTTTTCTCTAAACCCACAGAGGTGCTGTAACATCTACAAAATACTTCCCTTGAACCACTGTTCCTGAGCCTTCTCTGCTTGATTGGAGCCAACCCTGTCTTCAATTCCTCCCCTCCTGTTCTCTCTCCACTGGAGTACTCCCCAGCTTTCTGCCCACACACCATGGAAAGAGCTCAGATCACAGCCACCAGTGGACTTCCGTGTTGCCAAATCCCGTGGTCAGAAGCATCAGCCACATGCCAGCACCCTCCTTTCCAAAGCATTTCTCCATTTGCTCCTGCAACACCTACAATTTTTAGAACATTCCAAGCACATCTGTGCCTTTGAGTTCTTTGCATGCCCTATTCCTTCTGTATAAGACACTTTCCTCAGACATCCACGTGACTCACTGGGCACTTCCTCTCAATATTTGATCAGATGGTACTTCAGATCAACAGCTCAGGCTGCCATAACAAAAGTACCATACTTTGGCCAGCTTACAGTTCTGAAGGATGGGAAGTCCAAGATAAAGGTGGTAGCCGATTCAGTTTCTAGTGAGGGTTCCTCTTGCTTTTCAGAGGGACTGCTCCTCAGTGTACTAACATAGTGGAAAGAGACAGAGGACAAACACTTGTGATGGTCACCAGTCCCTTCGTGTGGGGCTCCATCCTCATGACCTCATCTAACACTTATCCCCTCCCAAAGTCCCCATCTCCTTATAGCATCACATTGGGATTCAGGCTTCAGCATACGAATTTTGGAGGATCACAATTTAGTCCGAACCAGTACCTTATCGGAGAGACCTTCCTTGACCACCCAACTTAAAACAGCAGTTCTTTCTGCCCCCCAGAAAGTCTTATTTTCTTCATGCTGGTTTTTAATTGTTTTCAAAGCATTTAGAAAGTGTGTATTTCAAAGCTTATATATCTCATGTGTTTACCTGCCACTTATACTGCTCTATCTCCCAGCCCAGCATACGGCCTCAATGCAGAGGCTGCATTTGCTTTTATTCAGGTCCTGTTGCCAGCTCCCACTGAGCAAATATTTGTTGAATTAATAAATAAAAATGTTCACTCATACAAATATTACTAAACCACATATAGAATAAAAAATTTAGAAATAAGACAAATTATCACTGGGGTTAAATAAGGCAAAGCCACACAGTAGAATACCATGCAATCATTAAAACATTGTCGACTATTCAGCGACATTGGAAAATGTTAGCACTACCATGTAAAATTAAAAAATAGCAAAATAGTATATAAAAAGAACGTAAAATAAAATGTAAACTGTATAAAAGTGAGTGGAGAATTTCATCAGATAGACAAAGAGACTAGAAATACACACATCAAAATATCAAAAATGGTTATCACTCAGTGGTGGAATCCTAGGTGACTTTCGTTTTCTTCAATACGATTTTGTCCAAAAAATTTTTTATAATATATATTGCCTTCAAAAACCATTAAAACTATTTTTACTGCCAGTTATTGGGGGAGATGATCCACACCCAAGCAGAGGCAGAGATGGAAATGAGGCCCAGGGTGACCCTGTGTCAAGAATGAGGAGGAGGCCTGAGCCCTCTCCAGGGGGCTGCATCAAGGAAGGAAGCTGCATCAAGGAAGGAACGATGGCCGGGACAGTGACAGTGACAGTGAGGAAAGAGGGGGAAGGCCAGATATGCAACGTCAAGGTTTAGTTAGATCCAGTGGAAGCTGTCATTTCCTCACTTAGGCTTGATGAGAAGGCCCTGTGGGGTTATTCAGCCCAACTCCTGCATGTACAGCTGAAGAAACCCAGGCAGGTAACAAGTGGCCTGCCCCTGTACCCAACTGAAAACAATCCCCCAAAGCCCTGAACTTTCATTAAAACATTAATTGCCCAGTGTTCTTCATGGCCCAGTGGGTCTCACATTGGGGATGCTGTAGCCTAGAGGCCAGTTGGCAGTATCTGGAGTCATTTGCTGTTGCTAAAATAGGCCTGGGCATGGGCAAGGCTGCTACTGGCGCCTAGTGAGTACAGACCATGGATGTTGTTATGTGTCCAACAACATATAGGGAAGCCCTACAGTGAGGAATTATCTAGCCCGAGATGTAAATAAAGCCTGGACTGTGAAACTCGGACCTAGCAGGTTTTTCTTTGTCAGACAGGAGTTTCTTAAATCTAAGAACATCAGTTTTCTGGGTTAACCTCAGGCATAGAATGAGGTCAGGGGCTGTCTGTGAGAGGCTTTTTGCTTTTTATTCAAGCTGACTGAAAATCTAACACATTGTGTTGTTTGCTCCAAAATAATCTTTATTGTAGAACAGATGCAACTCATTGATTTTTAAAAGTTCATCTGGGCATGCTGATAAACACCTGTGGTCCCAGCACACTGGGACGCTGATGAGGCAGAAGGATTGCAAGTTTGAACCAGGCCTGAGCAACTTAGTGAAACCCTGTCTTAAAATATAAAATTTTTAAAAAGCCTGGGGATGTAGCTTGGTGTGAAAGCCCTGGGTTCAATTCCCAAAAGAAAAAGATCCCCCAAAAGAAAAAATGTACAGTGCTTTAATGAAAGTTTAGAGCTTGTTTTGCATTATTTTATAAGCTTCAGAGACCCTTCTTATGATAGTTCATTTTAACAACTATCTTACCTTAATAGGAGTCTTATCCTGGCTTAAATAGGATTGTTGTAGAAAAATTCAAACATATTTAAGAGTTTTTTTAAATGGTAATTCTGTCACCCAAGAGGAAGCACTGTAGTTTATTATGGTTTTGATGAATTTTAAAAATAGTTGAGACTGTTCTATTTATATAGTTTCATCTACCTAAAATAAGCCTTTATAAACATTCAGATAGCTGCGTAGAGCCCTCAGTGACCTAAAACCTTTTGCTGAACACAGGCTATTATCAGTCTTTCACTCGATAAATCTGTGATGAATGTTTCTTCATTTCAGTTTGCTTTTAAGTAGCATGCCAACCTGGATTGTTCTGGGGGCTTTGGGACATGGTCCCTGACATAATTCCCTGACAGAAGCAGGACAGGAACATCTCCTACCAAATGCAGCAGAGGAGGAGACACTGAGATGCACCATTCAGTGCACCTGATTTAGGGGAGAGGTCCGGAATGCCTGGGGCCATGGGTTTAAAACTTGGGCATACTAATCAAACCACATATCAGCACATATACAGATATGTGTAAGTAAAGACCAGCAAGAAAACACTGGGGGGATTAACCCCAGGTTTTTCACAATGGTGACTTTGGGACAGGCAATTGGGATTAGAGGGAGAGTCAAGCAAGACACAGCTTGGAGCTTTTCCATTATCTTCTGTATTATTCCTTGAATGCTGTATTATGAGTGTGAATTCCTATGGAACGTGTGTAATATTGAAGCTAAAATATATTTGAGTTATTTGGATCCTCATGGACTACAAGCCTGATTCAGTTCAGCAAATGCATTTCCTTGTTCTACCCAACCCTGGCACATACTTGACATGGTTCAGTAGCAGGCAGATGAGTGTCCCCAGAGGCCATGCTCTAATGTGCATTTAGATGATGGGCCTTAGTGTGCTCTTCTCACAGCACACTGCACTTGACTTCTGTGTATCCGTGGTCTGTGACATAGAAGACAGGGTGGAAACATGATCTAGGGCCAGAGCCAGAAGGTTTCAGGTTGACGCGCTTCATGTTGCTCTTGGCTCCCTCACTGTTTTAAGCACTGGTTTAGCAACTGTTTCTTCATGAAGTATGCACAGCTGACCCTGGGACAATAGATAGTGAGATCATTCTTGTTTCTTTCAGGCCGCACTCCTGGTCCCTGGCTCCAGGCTGAGGTAGCAGAACAGAGCTCCGATGACATCAAAGGCAGAAATTCTCAGGTAACAGACACACCCACAGGTCTCTGGATATAAGGCCAGGCCTTCTCCTCGGCGTTTCTCCTTTACAGCTGAGCATTTTTCCTCATATTCCTTGGGAATGCCATTTGATGTACCTGTGTTGCTAGCCAGTATGAGGGCCAGGGTTGTAGCTCATTTGCGCCGTGCCTGCCTGAGAAGTGCAGCGTCCTAAGTTCAATTCTGAAATGCCCACGGTTTCAGACTCTGAAGGTGGAAGTGGGGTCCTTGGGGTCACTGCTACATGCAGAAACAAGTGTAGTCACTGGGAACCCCTCCAGGCTCACTCTGTAGTAGTCGCTCCATCACCCCGTCTTCCCTGACAATGACGGTTGAAGAAGCCTGTGAGAAAAATCCTGTAACATTTATAAAATGTCATTCAAGGATTTCTTTCAGCTATGGTTTCTTTTATCACCCTTGGTATGTTTTCCTCAGTCGATATTATAATTGATAAATATCACAGCCCAACTCCCCGTGGATACAGGAAACAGACAAAGCTCATCAGGATTTACCTCAGCACTTGTACAGGACAATCTTTGATATGTCCTTATTCTCAACCAAGGCAATTTAGGAGTGTTTTCTAAAGTGGGCAGAAGTCATGTCTCCCACTGCAGGTGATAGGACCTCACCTTTAACAAATGACAGGGTCTCATCTTTAGAACCAGGTATTCCTTCCCTGGCCTTCTCCAGTTTCAGGATTTGGTGTAACAGATAACAAGCTGCCTGTTCTTAAACTAGGCCATTTTGCAGCTGCACAGAATGTCAAGAAAAGTGATCTGAGAAGAAAGGGACTTGGTTCCTGAGAGATGGGACAGTTCTGAGAAGCGGACTTCCTTCCTCTAGCAAGCGTCAGGTGACTCGAGAATTGCAGTAACCATTCTCAGATGATTACAGGTTCAGAAGTGGGTGTACAATTGTAGTGAAAGTATATATACATAAGGAAGGAAGGAAGGAAGGAAGGAAGGAAGGAAGGAAGGAAGGAAGGAGAAGGAAGGAAGGAAGGAAGGAAGGAAGGAAGAAGAGAGGAAAGATATATGCAAAACTGTTAGTAGGCAGAGAGGATCTGGGAAGGTGGCAGGCTAAGAAGTACAAGGGCTCTGTCTCCTTGCCTAGATAACAGTTGCACTGGTGGGATCTGTCTGGTGGAACCATTTTGGATCTTGAGGAGTCTGTTGAAGGTGTACAGCATCCAAGGAAAGTTCCATGCTAAACTGAAGTTGATTTTAGTCGGTTTCAGCTCTTAATACAGGAGCAGCTACCTAGCCCCTTCCCCGGTCACCAGGGTAGGCAGCTGGGTGCATGTGTCTGGAGCAGCTTGTGCACAACTGGTGGGAACCAACAGGAGCAAAATTTTAAAACCCCAACCTCCAAATACTGTGGATCTGAGCTCTGATAGCTTGTTGTTGCTTCTGTTCACGGATGTGTAGATAAAGAGATGGGCAGTCGTGGTTGCATCTTCTCTCCCATTGTTCTAAGCTCCTCCCCCGCTGGCTAATGTGACTTATTAAGGATTTTTTTTTTTGGTTCCCTTCATTTTTCTCTCTTTTCCCTTTTGGGAGCCAAGCATTAAAGACATTCAACAGTAACTTTGTGTCTGAGGAGAATTAGAAAGTGAGCGTTTATACCTGGGAAAGGTGCAGACTCAGGAAACACCTAGGACCTCATGTGTAACACCTCAGGCTGATTCGTGACATGGACACCATCAGTGACAATCCAAAAAATAAAACAGAAACAATAACAACAAACGTTTTAAATGCAACTCCTAGAGAAGGGAAAGAACCTGACTTCCAGGGTTACTACACTATTTGATTCAAATGTATAGTTTTCAACAAAAACACAAGTTATATGAAGAAACAAGAGTATAGCCTATTCAAAGAAAAAAATAAATCAACAAAGACTACCCCTGAAAAAGACCACATGGCAAGAGCTGGGGATTTAGCTCAGTGGTTCCTTCGCCTGCCTCGCAAGTGCAAGGTCTGGTGTTCGATCCCTGGTACCAAAAAAAAAAAAAAAAAAAAG